TTTCGTGCTTCTTTTAGCACCTTTTTGTAACCCAGGGGGACGTGACACCCCAGAGCTCCAACTACTTCAGCTGAATTCTACTTTTGTTTTTATTTCTCCCTCGCTTCCTCTTATTTTCCTCTCATCTGATTCATCTGCGAAGCCTGATGCTTCTGCCAGGCATCAGGGGGCGAGGAATAAATAGATGCTGCTGCCCCTGAAGGCTTAGACGTCGGGAAAGAGCGGCCAGACCGGCAGCAGCGGCAGGGGCGGCGGCGGCTGGAGCTCGGCGGAGCTCGTGGGACCCCATTGGGGGAATTTGATCCAAGGAAGCTGTGAGATTGCCGGGGGAGGAGAAGTTCCCAGATCATTGTGTCCACTTCCAGGGGGAGGAGGAGACGGCGGAGCGGGCCTCTGGGCGTCCTCGGCACTGCTGCACCCTACCCCATCCTGCCGGCATCATGGTCTGCGGCAGCCCGGGAGGGATGCTGCTGCTGCGGGCCGGGCTGCTCGCCTTGGCTGCGCTCTGCCTGCTCCGCGTGCCCGGAGCCGGGGCTGCAGCCTGTGAGCCCGTCCGCATCCCCCTGTGCAAGTCCCTACCCTGGAACATGACCAAGATGCCCAACCACCTGCACCACAGCACCCAGGCAAACGCCATCCTGGCCATTGAGCAGTTCGAAGGTCTGCTGGGCACCCACTGCAGCCCCGACCTGCTCTTCTTCCTCTGTGCCATGTACGCGCCCATCTGCACCATTGACTTCCAGCACGAGCCCATCAAGCCCTGCAAGTCTGTGTGCGAGCGGGCCCGGCAGGGCTGTGAGCCCATCCTCATCAAGTACCGCCACTCGTGGCCGGAGAGCCTGGCCTGCGAGGAGCTGCCGGTTTATGACCGCGGTGTGTGCATCTCTCCCGAGGCCATCGTCACCACCGACGGAGCGGGTGAGTCCTGCGACTGCTAGCCTCTCCCCCTGCCCTCCAGCCCGCTCACTTATTGAAGTCCTTGTTACTCGCCTTTACTTTTTAATCCTGTCTTTTCTCTTCAGGTCACTTCTCTTAATCACTCCTCTAACGAGCACCATTCCTTTTTTCTTTCACCTCATCACCTTCCAAACTGATGCACTCTATCTCAATAGGTGATCTGTTTTTCTAAAACACACTGCTCATTCCACTCCCATCACACTTCTAGTTAACACTCGGCATGTCCAAGGAACCACCATAGTGATGGTCTTTTATTACTTTCTTAATTTGTTTACAATCACTGAGCTTTCTTGCCTGATTACCTTGCTTTCTCAGTCATCACTTTTTTATAGCTGTGGTGTTTTAGCTGCTTGTCAAGATCGTATGGCGAAAACAGAAAACTCAAGCACTATTTTTCTCTAATTATTAAAAATACCAAGATAGTTCCAGTAACCTTACTCAGACCCACAGATGTTAGTGGTATGTGTTTGCTTAAAATCCATTTTGAGCAATTACCTTCACCTTAAACTTCTTCTTTTCAATGAGATAAATTGTTGTTCCATTCCAGACTGAAACAGCTGTGAAACATTGCTATGCACTGCTAATTAGCTTCTGTGACTTGCTCCAGCCACATAGCTGGCTGAGTGAAATTGCTGGGCTCTTTTCACATTCCCAAATGCCTTCAGGTCATTTTGTAAATGACATATGGATGAAAGAGTTATATTTAAGACGTGTTATCATCACACACTCATGTAATGTTATTTTTAATCTCATCTCTTATCCCGGTCTTACGCTTTGCCAATAATTTGTCTTTAGTACCTTATTTCGTGCTCTTTCTCTGAGTGTATATCAACTACACATTCATTTCAATCTTTCCGTACTGTAAAACTTTATTGCAGTTCTACATTTAATGGAACCAACCCCAAGTTGTTTTCTCACTAGTATTTGGTTTAATTATGACAGTCATAACTCTTAAGACCCCAGCTAAACCTTGTTCATTATGGTTCATTTAATTCTAACTCAGTATCACTCTTACCAATTAACCCAAACTTGAATTTCACCCGTCATATACTTTAAAAATAAAGCCAATCTTTTATGATTGGTCCTCTTTCATACCCTTCCCAGATCAGCTTTGTTCTTAGATGTGACCACTCGATTGCCTCTTTCTCTTTTCATTTCTTGGGCATCAACTTTTTTCTTCTACCTCTCAACTTGCTCAACCTAAGCTCATGTCTGTAGTCCATTTCTAGATAATAGCTCTTGGTTGTCAGGGAACTGATTTGAAAAAAAAAAAAACTGCTTTTTTTGCACATTGACTTGCTTAACATAAAGTGAATGGGGAGGGGAAAAGTATTTGTTCAAATAGTTGTAAAACCAAAACTGAACGGAAATATTTCAAGAGCTTTAACGTCGTCACCTCACTTATCACTCTTTGAATATACCTATTGTCTTGGTTTTAATCAAGAGCCAAGAAATGGTCATATAAAATAATCAGAAAGAAATATATTTGTTGTTAATCTTTGGACTAAAAGAGTACTCTTGAGCCTTGGCATTCACTACTGTCACAGGCTGTGCAGACTCTGGAAGAGCTTGGTCAGTTGCTGCCCTGGTCTGCCAGATACTTAGAACCAGTTAAATGCTGGCGCTTCTCTCAGGCCAAGGACGAGGAATGAGGTGACCGTGGTTCACGCTGAAATGCACTCCTCCCCTTAAAGCAGAAGACTTGCTCTGAAACCTCTCAAAGTTGGACCTCAGAAGAGAGAGGTTTGGCAAGGTTAATCGCTCTCAAAAGCCTTTTTCAGTATGGATGGGAAACTTAAGTTTCCTTAAGTGTCCCTGAGTTACCTATCATCATGGACCAAACGCAGAACAATTGCCTCATTGAAGCACTCAAATAGGACAGGCATGGAAACAATTTGTCGGTCCACAGGACCTGATTTCTGGGCTGCTTTAAAATGTCATATCTGCTTTGCTGACAGCATTCTTGCTAGAAAAATAAGTAGGGGTAGGCAGCAGTTGGAACCATATTTTGGTAATGGTCTCCCTTCCCCCCTCCCTTTACCATAACCTTCAGTTGTTGCAGGAGGGAGCTGAAGGGGAGGTGGGGATGGGAAACGGAGGGGTGGATTTAGCCTGAAGGGGTCCCCTTGGCTTCCAAGGCCAACTTACTGAAAATTACATTCCCTATCCTGGGTCAAACTGTCAGGCACCTGGAATTACTTAGGAACTACCACATGTGGCCAGTTTAATTTACGATGCAAATATACTACTTGGTTCAGTGGCATATGACAGTTCATGAAGCAGATTTTTTTTCTGTTCCTCCAGGTATAAACAGAGTCCCTATGTCTTATGACTAGAATCCAGCCAGCTATAAAAATGAGGTCTTCCTGAATAAAATGGAACCACCTTTTTCATTCCTTCAATGCCAAGAGGATTTTTCAAATCCTACCATTTACATGGATCTGTGCCCTTGCAGTACATTTTGACTCTACAAACCAGTTTAGGACATTTTACAAAGCAGTCTTACTGAAATGGGGTATTGCTTCAAATTACTTTTTGCTTTTGAAATACTGAGGGCAAACGTATATTTATAGAGAAAAGATCATATCCTGACATTACTAATAAATTTACGTTAAATTTATTCTTTTCTCACATTTTATATTTACCATAAAGTTGTGGCTACCTGCAAAACCGCTTTAGCTGAGAATTCAGTTCAATTTAGTTATTCAGCCAGTTAATTAAATCTTTAGTATTATATGGTGAGTAAAGAGTATGGGCAAGGAGTCTGGTAGACCAATTGTTAAATCTTGGCTTTGACCCATATCAATTGTTATCATGGGGAAACTATATAACTTCTTTGATTTAAAGTTTTCTTACTTATAACATAGGGATAGTACTGTCCACATCCCAAAGGCATGGTGAAGATGAAATTAAACACTGTATATACTACTTGGTACATTGCCCTTAACAAATTGTTGCGGCTGCTGTAGCTATTTTCCTGTGGTTATCATTGTTATAGAGAACTGACATTTTCTTTTTTGTTCGTTTGTTTTTTTGAAATGGCATATTGGTCACTGCAGTTACAGCCTAGAACTTTTATCAGTTCAGCTCTAGAAAACAAGCTTCACAATGGGACTTACCTGGAAAAGCGGATCTTCTTCTGAATATATAACCTTAATATTTCATTTTACACAAATCAACCTAGACCTCGGGTTCAAGAATGAATCCCTTTAGGAGCAACAGGAAAAAAGAATGAGTCTGGTGGATGTCTGTTAGTTACAAATAGTTTATCTCTCAAACATAAAATCATGTCTTTAAGAAAATCTATGGTATGTTATTTAATAGGTATTTATACAACACTCATGGATCACCATGCCAAGGGCTTTATAATCACTCCTCAGTCATTGCTGGTCTCTGTGGCAGTGTTAACTTGTCACCCCAGCTCTTGCTCAACACATTTCTCCAGGCCCTCTCTCGCCTGGCAGAGCTGGGCCAACTTTCACATGCAATGAACTGCTGTTTAATCATTTCTCCACTCTCTGAGGAACAGGCGGCCTTTTCTTTAGCCCTGGTCTACAAATATTTGAGGGGCTAAATACCAAGAAGGAAGACTTATTTAGTGTGATAGGAGGAAATGAAATGGAAAGAAGAAATGAAAATTTTATATTAAAACTAGAGAGAAAACATGATTCTAAGGATTCTTCATCATGTAAAATATCGAAAGGCATTTTGGATGGGGTAGGGAAATATGTTTCAAGAGTGTTATGATATTTAATTTATAGCTAACCCAATTGTCAGTGGTAATAGAATTTTATGTAGTCCCCCAATCTTATTTTAATAATTCATTTGTTATTTTATTCCCAACAAATTTCTAAATAGTTGTTGCTCTAAATAGCAAAATTGACTAAGTCATATTTGGCCTCTCTCTATCTACTTGATGTATAAAAAGGGGAGGTCAAGAACCTCCAAATAGACATTTGGCTGGATTATTGAGAATTGGCTATTTTCCTCAATTTAAAGAAAATCACAACTCTAAAGTTATAGGCCCTTAACTGGAATTCCAGATTTGCCATTAATGTTGTACCTTGAGCAAGTCATTTGACATTGACATTGGGATTGTGAAGAACAAAAGAAATATTCATGTGAAGTGATTGATAAATGGTAGAGCACAATATAAGTGTTTAACAGCAACACGATTGGGGAGAGGGTGTATCCTCAGGAGATGGATCACCGCAGCAACAGAAAAAGAACTAATAACACATGTTTAAGGTGCTGTTTTAAGTGTATATACACATTAATTAATTTAATTATAATAATAACTGTATGGTACATGCCATTATTTTCATTTTGTAGAAAAGAAAGCTGAGGCATATAGAGAAATTAAGTGCCTTGTCCAAGTTCATAAAGCTATTAAGAGAAAGAAGATTCAAACCAGAACCCATTCTACACTATACTTCTCTTATGAAGAAAGAATACTCTTTAGAGAGAATCTGTGTCTTTTGACCATAAGATTGCAGCTAAAGGATTTTTTTTTAAATTGTAATTTGAAAGCCCATTTATATAGAAATGCTTCTTGACTTGTCATGGGGTTACATCCTGATAAACCCATAGTAAGCTGAAAATATTATAAGTTAAAAATGCATTTGATACACGTAACCTACTGAACATCAGAGCTTAAGCTAGCCTATCTCAGAAAACAATATCCAAAAAAACCACTGGCAACATAGTACACTGTAGCATATTGGTGGTTTACCCTCATGATCATGCGGCTGACTGGGAGCTGCTGCTCCTTGCTGCTACCCAGCATCATGAGAGAGTATCGTGCTGCATTTTGCTAACTCAGAAAAAGATCAAAATTCGAAATTCAAAGTACAGTTTCTGTCGAATGCGTATCACCTTAGCATCATCATTAAGTTGGACCTTGTAAGTCAGGGACTGTCTGTATAGTTTAAAAGAATGATAGCCCCAGACAAAGTATTCCAAGAGATAAGATATAACTACTTCTTTTGAGATACCAGAGAACATACATTCCAGATTTTCACATCTAACCCTGAGCCCTCAGTCTCAGCATGCCCCAGAGTAAACTCATTTCCTTATCCTCATAGGCCTATTCTTTTCTAGAATTTCTATGTCGTTATGAGGTACCACCATACCTAAACTCAGGCCTGGGAGTCAGTCTTGCTTCCATCCCATTCCTTATCCCCCACATTCAACAGGGATCAAGTGCTAGTGAATCTACTCTGAATCCAATTCCTTTCTCTCCTTCTCTAATGCTACTTTCTTAGGTAAGGTCTCATCATTTCTCATGTGGATTATAGCCATAATTGACTTGCTTACCTCTGGTATTGCCCCTCTGTATTCCAACAGGGTGATCTTCCTGAAATACAAATCTGTTGCTTAAAATTCTTTGTTATCTGCTTCTAGCCTTCATGATCTCATTCTTTCTTACTCATCCAGCTTCATTTCTCTCTGCATACACCACTCTCTATTTTAGCCACATTGGAAAATTTGCAGGTCCCTTGAGGAGTATTGTGGTTTCTCATCCTCACACGTTTGTACATACTATTCTCAATCTAGAAGAACTGTACTACCTTCCCCAGTTCCTTTAGTATTCTTCTGGGAACCTCTCTGACCCCTACTAGAAATCTCTGGGTCATAAAACCTACTAATAATACTATTTTAATTTAGGATGATTTCGTCCTAAGTTTAACTTTCTAAAACCAATTTTTTTTGGATTATTTGGGATCAGTAAACTTCGGTTTTCTCTTTTATAATTCTAACAATTGATTTTTAAGCGCTTTTTAAAACGTAGAAACATTTTCCTGTGAATAGAATGAAAGAAGAAAACCATTCTCCTAGATTCAGCTGTACCAAAGGGGTTTTCTTTTCTAAGAGAAGAGTTTTATTTTTCATTTTTATTTTAACCTTTTAACATTAAATTAAGTATGGATCAATATAATTTCATTTACAGAGAGATCATTTTTGTATAAATCATATGCATATTTTCACATGATTATTGAACTTATCCAGGAATAGAAAAACACTTTGGTGCATTAATACTTGAATACATTTATCATGAATAAAGTCTTTGAATAGAAAAATTGTCATTAAATTAATAGTGTATGACTGAGTTAAACCAAATGTTTTCGAATCAAGTAGTGTTGCCTGCTTATTTATTTATTTGGTGTTTGCTATCTTCCTTGGATATAGTTTTTTAAATACCAGCTGATGATTACTAATTCATTAATTGTAATTTTGGGTGGTATTAACCCCTCCTTGTTTAATTTATTCATGTTATGACCTAGGAAGAAAAAGAACATAGAAAGAACATTATTTTCTATTAGAATAAACAGAAGCATTAAACTCATTTAACATAAAATGTTAATACAAATAGAAAACTCTTGTATAAAAATGCTGAGTTGAAGTGTCAATAAAGATATATACCTAAGAATCTACAGCATCAGCATGGTGCTTTGCTGAAGTACTCAGTGTCATTCATCAGAGTCTGCTTTTTTTACTAGAACATAGAAATTTATATCATTACCATTTATCATTTATTATTATCATTTTCTGGGATTATGGGATCATGAAAAGAGTCAATGGCAGTTTCCAGTTATTACTACATCTATTAATTGCACTGGTTTGAGTAGTTCTTGGATGCTAGGCTTCCTTTCTGCTGAAGGACTGTTTAGTCTTCAGTTAAAAATTATGAGAATGCTTTTTGAATTTAAATATATGCTGTTAAAGGGTGATGCATCTATTCGTTGAAGAGGTGTGTTTGGTTCTTCTAGTCATCAAGAGATAAGTGTTGGGCAAGTGCCTAATATGTATATAGGCTTTATCGTGATAGGATGCTCTTAATTCACAAATTTTGTGAAACTCAAAAACTTTATTAAATCCTGAAATTTTATACCCAGCTGATGAGGATTCATAAGAGTATATTACCTTTCAATCACACAAAATAATAGATCTTTTCCTTAGTTGATTTATAAATAAGAGTGCTAACATTGTGACACTAATAAGAAGCACCTGGGTTCCTATTTAAATCAAACTTGTGACTGAATTAGATGTTTTATATGGAAATCCTTGAAATAATAACAAATATGTTATGATTTTTTATTCTATCACCTTTCAGATTTTCCTATGGATTCTAGTAATGGAAACTGTAGAGGGGCAAGCAGTGGTGAGTATATCACTATCTTCCTGGTTTTTGTTTGTGGTTGAATAAATCTTTGATGTAACCTAGATACTAAAGTCTTATTTGAGAACATTTGGGCCCTACATATTAAAAGTAAACTTATAATTAAGATACAGAACAGTTCCATCACCTCAAAAAAACATCCTCTTATAATTACAAGCGTCTCTCACCTAACCACTGGCAATCACTGATCTATTCCCCATCACTACAGTTTTGTCTTTTCAGTTCCTTGGGGGTTCTCCTTTTTGGTCCTTTGGCCAGAAAGCTGGGGCTTTCTTTATCCCACTTTCTGATGAACTTCCTAACTGCTCCTACATCTGAGGCCAAGTGGTGAGAGGACCCAGCAATGGAGGGTTTGCCCTAATCTCTTGATACCACATGTCGATCAGAAAGGAAAATTCTCTTAGATCAGCATTTTAGGATTCCGAGGAGGGCTTGCCTTGCTGCAGCTGTTGTTGCCACCAGTGTCAGGATTGCTTGAGGAATAGAGTACAGGAGGATGAACTGTTAGGATACCTTTTTATCACTTCTTGAGTCAGAACTAGAGGATTTCTCCTAAAGCACTCTGTCTGAATGATGCCTACTTCCAGGTTCTAGGCTGTGTTGAAACCAGACTGGGAAATACCAAAGGGGAAAAATGATGAATCCATTACCAGTTTGATTGTAGTGGTTTTCTTCCCCAACTTTTCTGTTACCATTTACCTTTCTGAGCCCTCAGATATCTGTTTCATGCATTCTGTTCAGGTTTTATAACTGTATTCAGTAGGAAAGACATGATGGAGTCTACTTACTCTATCTTATCATAAAATAAACTTTCAAATGAAGTATGACGTATGAGCAAAAAAGATCACAAATCATAACCATGCAGCTCAGTGCCTTTTAACAAAGTAAGCACTCTAATGTAACCACCACGCAGATCAAGATACCAGCACTCTAGAAGCCTCCCTGTGCTTCTTCCAAATCACTACTTCCAGCTTTCCTCCCAAAGATAACTGCTAGGAGGAATTCTAACAGATATATTAATTTTGCATGATTTTGAACTTTTATGAATGAAATTCTACAGTATGTATGTATTTGTGTGTGTTTGTGGCTTCCTTTGCTCTTTATTGTGCTGTGTATAGCAGTACTTTAAAATTTTCATTGTATTCTATCATATGAATATATGACGCTATTTATTCTAATGTTCCTGGATATTTGGGTTGTTTCTAGTTTTTGTTATTATGACTAATGCTGCATATGTTACAAGATAATTATAAGCACAATTATTACTATATAACTTATTCACTTTCCTCTAGTAATTTGCATTGATTTGGGTCTGTATGTTCTCTGCATCTTAAGATGTCCTTTATGTGGAAGCAGAAAATAAGATTTATAAAATTTATAAATACTAAAAATTAAAATTAATTTTATTTTTGTTATTATGACTAATGCTGCATATGTTACAAGATAATTATAAGCACAATTATTACTATATAACTTATTCACTTTCCTCTAGTAATTTGCATTGATTTGGGTCTGTATGTTCTCTGCATCTTAAGATGTCCTTTATGTGGAAGCAGAAAATAAGATTTATAAAATTTATAAATACTAAAAATTAAAATTAATTTTATTAAGTTGTATATGTTGGAAACATCCATTTTTTTTTAGATTAGAACAATTTTCACTGTTGATTTCCACTGCCTCTTACTGAGTGACAAGTGTTTGACCTGAGGCAATGTCTACCAAAGGCATTCCAATAAACATTTATCTTTTAAAAACTCACTAGTGTCCAGCAATGGCTCTATTTTCATTATTATTATTATTATTATTATTTATTTATTTATTTTTTATGCCTACAGCACCTGGTCTTCCTAGGTGGTCTCCCATCCAAGTACTAACCAGGCCCAATCCTGCTTAGCTTCTGAGATCAGATGAGATTGGGCGAGTTCAGGGTGGCATGACTGTAGACAACAATGGCTCTATTTTAAGGGTCACACCAGCTATTATGTTGGGTCAAAATAAAGTAAAAAGCTCCTTTGTGTAATAGTACACAATAGGTAAGTCAAAATTTCTGGTCAGGTACATGCATGTGCCATCAAGTTGTCCTGAAGGTATCATTAGAATAATGTAGCACTTCAATGTGTGAAACAGCGAAGACATCGACAACACTATAAATAATACACAAAAATAGTTCAGTGTATAAAACTACCTAGAATAAAAGTAGTGTTCCTGAGTTCAGTGTTTACTATTCCTTTTATAAATGTTTTCCTGTTCTCTGGTATAAAGGGAGTGATGAAAAACAAACTGACAAAATCAAGATCACTCTGCTTGTGAAAACATATTCACATGTTCTGAAAAGAAAATATAATTTGTTCACACTCAAAATTCTATACTTTGGAGTAGTGTAACAGCTGAAGTTAATTATGATAAAACAGGAAATGAGGAAGACTTAAAAACATCATAACCCACATAACCACTCTTTCAAAAGTGTCAAGTTGTTTCCGTCTGGAATTTGGAAAAGAAATTCTTTCACTCAAGTTAATTTATCCTTTGCCTCAAAGTTTAACAATTTTCTTTTGCTTTTTTTGGAGATAATAACTCTGAGCAGCTTCCAATTTGTGAGTGTGTTTCACTGTTGTAAACCCACTGTTATAACAAGGAGTACATCCTCTCTAGTTTCCATAACTTAGAATATGGAGAAAAACAATTTTAGTTCTATTCCACTGTCATTTGGTGTGTTAAATCAACACAGAACATTAAGGCAGGTGTTTAAATAGTGCAATGAAAAGACATATTTTTATTAAAATACTGAAAAAGAATCCTCCAAGCTTTCTACTTTGTGATGGTAACCAGTTTATGAGCTTTTATATTTGAAAAACACACGAATTTTTCCTGAGAGGCGATATACTTGGTAAATTCTGACATTAATTAATTATATGAGCATGACCAAATTACATAATTTCTCTGGGTCTGTTTCCTAATATAAATTCAGATCATATTGATCTCTAGGTTCCTTTGTGATATATTTTCAAATTAGAGAAACATTAGCAGTATCCGCTAGCGTATGTTGGGTACTCTCTCTCTTTTCACAAGCCTCTTCCTGGCCCTGTTTCAAAGGTACTTCAGAGACAATCCTTTGGGCAGCTGATTGGCAGCTGCTGCGTAACTGAAGATTCCTGATTGTCTGTACCTGGCAGGCCTGCCTCAGCCACCCCATCTTTTAGTATGTTGGACTGTGCCTAGCTTGGGTAGTATAGACCCATTTTCTCTTTCCTTCTCCAAACTTCTCTCTGCTCTTTTGGTTTCCTACTAATTTTGGGAAGGAATCCAGTTTTTTTTTTCCCCCCTCTTTGGTGCAAATGTTTATTGACTATAGAGGCTGAAATGACTTGGGAAAACTTCTACCCTTTATTGGGGGACAAAATTAGGATAGATAAAAAATGGTGTTTTTATATTTTTATAGTGGTTTACACTCTCTCTCTCTCTTCCCTACCCCCCTTTCTCCCCCTCTCTCCCCCTCTCTCCCCCTCT